ATATATACATATAATATATATATATATATATATATATATATATATATATATATATATATATATATATATATATGTATATATATTTAAATACGTAATACTTTTTTTGAATAAAGAAGTGTAATAATAATTTTAAGTAGTCGAATACGACTCTATGGCTTTAATGTTTACGGGTCGACGATAAGCGCGCGAAAATTACTTTTGATCGGTTTGCTCTGCGACGAACTGGTAGCGGGCGGCGAATGATAGGGTAGCGGGGAGTGTGGGCGGAGCCAACACAGTCAAAACTTTTTGGCATGAGGGCTCTTAAGCGACGATGTGACCGACAATGGGATGCGTGCCTTGAATATCTCCAAATTGTACTTTTCGCGAAATACAGGTAGAGCATTCCATTCCTTTGCCGTACGCATCAGAAAGGAGGAAGCAAAGCGCTTAGTGCTAATAGGTGGAATATCAACGACATAAGAATGGAGTGCTCCGGACCTTCTAGTCGACCGGAGGAGGAACGGTGAGGGCGGAACCAAATTGAAAAGTTCCTGCGCACACTCTCCGTAATGTATTCGATAGAAAACCGACAAGCAGGCTACTTTTCTGCGATAGTCGAGATTTTGTAGCTTCAACTCCACAAGAGAATTATTGTTAATAAGCCTCTTTGCTTTTCGCTCCACCGAGTCCAAGGCAGCGAACTGATTATGAGCAGAGCCATCCCAAAGGTGGCAGCAGTACTCCATACATGATCGAACTTGTGCTTTATACAGATTTAAAAGCTGTTCAGGTGTGAAGTACTGCCTGACTATGTAAAGCATGCCTAGTTTTCTGACAGCAGTTTTTGCCAAGCACTCGATGTATCGCCCAAAGTTGAGGTTGGATGATAAGACCAGACCAAGTAGCTCAAGGTGGTCCCTTATCGGTACGGATACATCTCGGAAAGTCGGAGTAAGGTGTAGAGAACTCTGAAAAAGATTTGCTTTCTCTTCAGCGGTATGAGCCAGCGATCCGTCAGTTCTTATTAAAGGCGGAAGGGATGACCTGCAGAAATTCGCTTCGACTGATTTAGCGAACCACCAGAATGCTTTTCTCCCTGAAGGGTATGAAGCTAACCTGACCCCAATACGACTAATATCGCCAAAGCGAACTTCAGCCCAAGCCTGGTACGCAGATTGCTTTACCGTTTCCGCAGAAGCACACTCAGCGTTAAACCAAGGGCGAGCTTTGCAGCTGGAGGAGACTTCGAAATACGGAATAAAGTATTCCATAGCTCGAATAATTTCCTCAGAGACGGCAGAGGCGCAGCACGTCCGATCGTCAGAAGAGAAGCACAGCTGCCGCCATGGATAAGATGCAAAGAAATGCCGCATCGCATCCCAATCTGCTGACTTGTATCGCCACATCCTCTCACCACGTACTTCTCGTACTGAGATCGGGTGTGGAGTAGACAGATACAGACTTCCCCAGACAGTGATCGGATGCTCCTAGTGGGCACGAGACCGATACTTGATAGCGGTCTGGATCGGTTGTCAGCAGAAGATCCAGGCATTTGACTGTGTGGTCGTCAACGTCCGGTACCCGGGTAGCGCAGCTCACCAGCTGGGTGAGGTCTAGCGATAGAGCACATGCCCGCGCCTCTCTTCCAGCATAGTCGGTTTTTTGGTATGGGAACAACCATTCCTGGTGATGGGCATAAAAGTCCCCCTAAAAGACAAGTTGCGCTTTAGGATACCGTTGTTGGACTGTTTCCGCCGAGCTGCAGAGATAGTTGAACAGGGTTTCTAGAATGCGACCGGTACTTACACACTGGCGTAGACAATTTGTTCAAGTCCAGTGTCCACCAGAACACAATTTGACTCTTCAAAATGAAGCGAAGAAATAAAAATGGTCTTCTATTCAATGTTTATATTCGGCACTATTATACGGTGGTATGATTTCTAACTATTCTTTTTTATTTTTTGATTTGTAGGTAAACTTGAAATAGTAAAAATAATAACAATAAAATATAAAACCTCGTAGTGAATTATTTTAATAACAGAATATCGATAATATGTACGCTTCCAAGAACAACACTATCTCAAAATAATCGTTAACAACAATTACCAACATTTTATTAATTTTATTAAATTTTATATTAGGATTTATATGGTTTTTTTTCAAACAAAGTTTTCTCTTTTTTTATACTCTCAAATTACATTTTTCTGTGCAAATTCACTTTTCGTAATATTTGAGTATTTGTAAACGCAAAACAATAAATTCAAAATTTCATGTGACATTCCCGGATATTCCCATTTAACCTAAAATATTCCCAAATGGAATATTGATCTATTTTAATTAAATGTTTGCATGTCGATGATGACTTATCGATATATTATGGTACGACACTAAGGAAATCCTCCAATTGTTCGTTCAATTTTTGTTTAGGTATCCACGTTCATTCTGTAGTTAGGGCAGCTCCTTTCTTTTATTTTTTTTCTATCCTCTAAGACTCGGAAGACTCAATTTCCGATCGGGAGAGGCAATCAAAATCAAGCTGCAGGTCGTTTTCAAACAAATACCCGGCGGAATAACGCGCAGTATTTTTCGCCACACACATCGCTTGTAATATCTGAATAGGCTTTTAATGCGAAATCGCGCCAACCGCATTTACTAAGAAGAAGCGAGTGCGGCTCGATAAACCCAATTGCACGCGCGCTTTCATTGCCAATCGTGCTTAATTACAATTTGGCTGCTAACATTCGTGACAAATTAGTGATATTTATTTATTTCAGACTGATTACGGTGGAGTTTTTGAAATTTGATTAGCCTGGTCTATTATAAAAAGCAATCAGTTCTAGTCGCAAAAAACTAGTTTTAGTCGGTCCGCCCGCCGTTCAAAGTTATAATGGTGTTTCTGTAATTCTAAAATTTTGCGACAAGAACCATTTAATTTACTTTTTCTGGTGCAACCAGATCTTAAGCTAGACACTGTGCTTCTCGAGATTCAAAAATGGTGCAGTTGGAATAAAATTGTTTCAGCGTGGACAGTAAAACACCTTCGTTCCTACTAGTTCTATTGAGTAGAACATTGTTATATGGTTATAACTTTTAAACGGCATAACGATTAAATCTATTTTTATGACTAGAACCGACTAAATCACGACTTTTAGTGCAATCATATAGATGTAGTGTTCGAGATTGAGGAATGGTGCCGTTACGCTTATTCCAGCGTAAACAGTAAAACATACTTTAACTTTTGAACGATAGACCGACCCCTTCGACTAAATCTAGTTTTAGTTGCAACTAGAACCGAGTAAATGGTGTCTTTTTATCTGACTAATCAAATTTTAAAGACTCGAGCATGGTCACGATGCAATGGAATAATTTTAAATCTCGTTATGTTTGAAACAGTACTTAATTATCATGTTCAGACACAGATGTCTTGCCCTAAATATAATGTTGCAAGCTTAACACTGTTAGTTTGTCTGTAAGAAATTTGATCACGTGATCCTATTTGACCACGGAACCCTAAAAATAAAATAAACTTTCCAATTTAACAATGTTTATTGAAAGCGACACACCGTTACAAAAACCAAATTTTTATTTGTCTGTTTTTATTAAATTAAAAAATTGGAAACTCGCACACCGAAGCTTTCACATACGTTAGTACATTTTTATATTATCAGACATATAATTAATATTATTTACGATTTTCCGTCGTCAAAAAATTTGAAACATTTTTATCCATTTTTTTGCTTTGAAATTCTGTCTTACTTTTTCTGCAAAATTTACTTAGTATAAATTGAAGGTACAGAGGCAATTTCTTTATGCCGTCGTTCCATTACATTGATAGTGACCATGACAAATGTTGTTTTTTTTTGTTATCCGTAGTATCTACAGTAAGGAATTAAATATTAGGGACCAGAAACAAAAATTAAGAATTTGATTACCTACTGGGTAAAGTCTAGGTAGGTAGGTACTAGCTTATCGGAAAAAATATGAAAAATTTTTTGAAGCTACAAATTAATATTTCTTTTATCGGTTTATGTACTTAATTATAGGATTACATTTTTAACTTACATTTAATCCCTGTAATATGATTAATATAATAATAAACTTTATTTATTCTAGGTATTGAAACGCTTTGGTACATTCTATGGATACCCGTGACTTTTAAATAGTGTGTAAAATGCTGATACCATATCGTATAACGATAATGAGGTACAAAATTGTTCTAGAGCACTAAATGACGTCTACTAGAATCACATCATCGTTGCTTCTAATTATTCATAAGTAAGAGAGAGAGAATAGTAGAATAAGCAACCATTTTGGTTAAATTAGGCTATAAAATTCTATAGACATGATGTATTCAAAATGGCTCACCTCATTTTATCTTTTTTTTGTCTACACGGACTAAAACTAGAGACAAAAAGAAGCCATTAAAGATTTGCGCGCTCCATTTTGCTCGATCGTGATAGTACAAACAGCCCATGCAATCTGTTCGATCGTACATTCTCTAGATTTGCCTCTAGCCGAAAACTCACGACACTGATGTGACAAAAGAACGTGGTGATTAGTATGTTTTAATTACATATGTCAGTAAATGTGCAGGAGACAAATTATGCTCTTAAGTAATGTGTTAAGCCTACATTAATTAAATTATGGTTTGAAACCGCATTAAGCATTTTACACACCAATCGTCAAAAACACAATCGTTTTAGAGCTTATTTAAAAACTGTGAAATCGAAGCGTAGTCTTCACATTCTGGAATAAATTTGCCCTTGAACTTGATGCAGGATTCGGCGCAGAGTGGCCCTTCGAACCACGCACCGAGCATTTTCTTGCATTGTGCGCAGTTTTCGATGCATACTTCCAAGGACTCGTAACTGGTAGCTATGGAGTAGAGAAAAATAAGTGTTTAGTACCGCTGACAGCTATATTGATATCAAACAGAGTTTGGAATTGCACGTGTCATGTCTTTCGCATAAAAATCACAAATACAACCACAAATTCATCTGTAAACACACAAATACCAATTGCATAGAAATTGCCTCCGCGGCCGTACGGTTACCATGTTGGACTGCCATGCAGACGTTCCGGGTTCGATTCCCGGGCCGGGAGAAATATTTGTATGGCCTACATTTATTTCTCTCGTGAGTTTGGGTGTAGTTTGTGATGATGGCACCTGGGACATAGAGTTAACCTAGTGTGTAACTATAAGTGTGTGCGTTATTTATTTATATTGCAATTCCGTGGTCGCTATTATCATATTATCATTATACCTTGTCCAACGTATTTGCAAGGTCAGACAGAAGAGGGCACTGCCAGCGGTTTGGGTACTCTACAGTGGCAACCCAATTTTCATGTATTGCACTGAATTATTGTGCTTTATCTAATTTTATTATTAAGTATAAGATCCGACCGGATCAAAGAAATTTTTCCTGAGTGTATTTTCTGAGTGTTCGATCTTTGTATTAATAATTATAAGTATATATACTTATAATAAATACATTTACATATCGGACCGAAGGATTTTTTTCTGAGTGTTCGATCTTTGTTTAATAATTATATCAAACTAGTGGAGTAGTTTCACATAAAAAATAATTGAATATCAATTTATTAAAAATTTAAATACAATGAATAGCGACGTTACTAGCCAGGGCTGGTAGCTGTACAGGTATCTAATAGGGTGACGAAATACTTAAGATTTCTCATAGATGGCACTACGGCTAAAAAGTCGTTGAAAAACCAAATATAAAGATACGACAACAAACACATAGAAAAATTCGTTAGGTCCGCTGGTTTGTTCCGTGGCTAAGTTGGTATAGCGTCTGGCACGGTATAAGTAGACGTCGGTGCGAGTCCGGCCGGATCGAATGAATCTTTTCTGAGTGTTCGATATTTGTATTAATAATTACAACAAACTAGTGGAGTAATTTGACATAAAAATTTATTTGTAAGTCAATGTAAAAAATAATTAAATGTCAATTCAATAAAAATTGAAATACATTTACATATTTTCCATATACACTATAGAGATTTACTTGTTAGAAGTAGTTACCTGCATTCGCATTTTGTCATGTACAAAAAATATGACGTACTTATATTAAATTCTACTTACTCATTATTACAAACGTTTTCTTATTCCCGCTAAATTTTACAATCGATTGAACACATGTGTTCATTACTGATATATGACTTAACTCCCAAAGGCGTTTATTTATTCATGAATACGACGAACAATAAAGTTTTAATATATACATTTTAAGACTTTCGTGATTATTTACTAATTACAGATTTCTTCCCAAAGTACGAGTTCTTTTTATTTTCCCGATATTTCGGGAAATATCGGGAACTAAAGTGTTAAGCTTTTTTGGAAGTACACTGTTATTACGTAACCACGTAGGTAGTTAGTGTTATAGATATTAGTGTAGAGGATCTTTACGACATTTTGGGTATAGTGACCTCATGTAATCGGTAAACACAAAATGTTCGCCATAAATACAACTGGTCAATGAAACAGAAAAATGTAGGTTTTTACCTCCACAGTATACTTACAAGCACCGCTGTGGATACAAAATTTACATTAAAAATGCCCATTTTTAAATAAAGCATCCTACACATTTTTTCATTGAGTTTTTACAACCATGCAGTATGCATTTCATTCCGTCACAAAGAAATCTTAATATCCACGACAAAACCGAACAAGTCGTGAGCTTGATGGTAAGCGACACGCGACACTCAGAGCTTTAAATCGTAAAGATCTGACGGGTACTGCTACGACGCCCGTCACCCTGAGACATGAATTGACAAGTCCCACATGCCCGTAATTTCACCGGTCCCATATTCTTCAAAGCCGGAATGTATGTTGTAGTAATGCTCACATTACTGATTGGTGGTAGAAAGAGGCAGTACATTTCTGGACGAACTCTACAGCTACTAAAGCAACTCAGTTGTAAGCAATTACTTCAAAGCATTACTTACCAGTGAATCTCGTATAAACTGTCATTACGAGGTCAAGTGTAAGCGATTAAGGTGAGTTTGCGTAACTTCGCAGCGAAAGTGAACAGTCCAACTAAATATTGAGGTCATTGCCTTACATCACACGAACAGTCACATCTGACTTAGGTTTTTCCATTAGCTTCAAAACCTACAGGAAATATCATGCATCTTCTGATTAAAAGATTGGCTAAGAAAAAGGTAGTCCATAGAATTTCGAACTCTCATGTTTCGTACTACATTACAACAACAAAAGGTCAATAAAATCGTTTATTCGTTAAAAGTTTGAATTGTCTTGTAGACGTACTTAAGAGACGATAGATTTCGTCTATTCGAATAATCTACGAAAGTTTCTGATTTTCTAACATTCCTAAGAAGATGAATCTATTTAAGAAGTGTTTCTGGTAAACTAATTTGGTTTGAATGGTTTGTTAGATCCAAGCTCATAGAGGTAAAAATAACACACCCACGATTTGTAATAAAAACCAATTTACCCATGTTTATATTTCTGGTTAGGTTGACTATTAAATAATAAACGCATTTGACATAAATTTTTTTTCAACGTTTTACACATTGATTTAAAATACATAAAGTTTCCGATGTCCGTTGTCTTGCTAGACTACACTAAAAATCGTTTATGATATGAAAACTACTAGAAAATGTCAGTAAGAAGGACTGAATACAAAACTTACCTATGGCAGGGTTACTGGTTACGTAATTCAGGTGAGCCAGAGCAAACACTGTGAGCAGTGCAAACGCCGCGGTAATCTTGCCGGCCATTTTGCAGGAATCTGTGAACCAGTAAATTTAAAATTTCGAATTCCTGACAATAGCCGGTAGTGATCACGTAAAATAGTTCACGCATTTTGTACACAGAAGAGTTTTTTACCCAGTCGTTGGCGATAAAGCATGATAGATACCTAGATAGACTTCCACGAATATATTCTACGGCAACAGTGATGTGAGTACGTCTATATATAATGTACTATAGAAATGTATGGTAGCGTATTCGAAGGCAGCGTCATTGTTTAATAGCTGTTTTGCCGCATTACTGATGCTTACCAAGCCGCGAGTGGGTCAGAAAAGAACTCCACCGTAACTTATGCCAAAAATAGTGTTTGAAAGCTGCTTCCGAAAAATGGTCCTGACAATTTTCCAGTCTAAACCTTACAAACTCGTTAGTGGTTTTCACAGAAGTAATGGAGGAGCAGAGTAGGTTTACCATCGCTCTACCACTAACTGACTTAAAGTGATTTGGAAATTAAACTATTTTTCCGGATTTAAATCGCGTATATTTGTTTTTTCAAACAAAGTGATTTGTTCTTATGAATCCTTATATCCGTGTCGATCTATTGGTCAGGTTGTAAAAGCTATGTTATTGGGACAGTTGGATTTTCTTATGATTTTGTAACGCAAGTAAATTCATCAACAAAAGGTATACTTTGCTTCTGTTATTTATCCGTTACCTAGACATTGGAAAATAGATATATTTGCAAATCTTTTCCGTTTTGATAAATGTCTACTAATGACACTGAAATGTGCACAAATTGATAAAGCACCTAATCATGAAACTTACCGGCATTTATTCCAACGGAAACTGACCTGTGCAAAACGAAACCGTTCAAGAAACTCACTGCACCATAAAAACCAATCACTTGAGGACACTTTAAGGTCACAAAGTGTCGTGAAAAATTCGCCCGTGTCGACGACCGATCGCATATTGAACGTGTTTAAATATGAAACCAGTTAAAGTGTACTGTATGTGTAGGCGCATAATGGAGGGGCGGCGCGTGCGCAAGGGGCATCCCAGGAAACGGATCTGTACCTTTGCGAAAGCCGAAAGTTCTAAGTAGGAAGTCGACTACGCTATGTTATCAACATATGGACATGACTATTAATATTAATAGCTCAATTTTGAAAATAATTGCAATTCTCTTTGTACATGATTATCGTGAGTACCTATCAAGAAAAACAAGACAAGGCTTACATTAAATAATTTATAGTTTAAGGTAATTTAAACGTACAAACATGCGATGTGTGGACAGTCACAGTTGCAGTTTTATGGCTAAGCTGTTACGCAAACTTAGGACCACGTTAGTTATGAATATAGCGAGAATATGCTAGTTAGGACTTTTATAAAACTTTTATGATGAAACTAGTTGCATTTTAGAAAGTTTTTCTTATTGCTTATAGGCAAGCATTTGACCACAACTCAACTGATCATGGAGACTGCCCATATTGACGTAATATAGGACAGAACAAATTTATTTAGAAGGTGCCTATTCGTTCTGGTATAGAAAAGGTTAACGTATATGTTTTTAAGAAAACCGCAACCTGATAATTCTACCCCTTAGCTATATATGTATGGATCTGTACAAAAATTGTTCGTGTAGAAAATAGGTATTTTCACGTGTGTTAAGTGCATTCAGAAATTTTCTGTAGTGGACTTATAAAAGATGGCACCGAATATTTGTAGTTGCAAGGCAAAATATTTCGAGAAATTTTTAAAATTATATTATTAGTGAAGTAAACAACGATTATAATGGCGGAGTGGGACTGAAATAACAATAGCATGTAATGTCTGTCTGTCATGTCCACATTAGGAATTACTCTTAAATGACTGAACCACACGGAATATCCTATAGCATAGGACGCGTATTCTACTTCCGCGTCGAGGCTAAAAAGTCAAATGTAAATAACCTGTAGCTACGCGTGCATAAAGTAATTCATAGCTACCGAATGTTGCAGTACACAGCTCTTATTCTGAGCAAGTTTTCAAGGCGACGCGTGTTTCACGACGCAGTGGAAATTATACTAGAAACGACCGACGCGCTCACGCCTCTCCCTCACATTTAGGAAGCGGATCTGCTATGACACAATCGGTTTATCTTACAACTTCCTAAACTCCGTCTCATAAATTCATAATCCTGCCGGATACAAAAAATGTGGCATGATTGATTCTCAGTCATCTTTAAGTTCCGCATATGAAATCATGAGGAAAAAAAGCGTTGAGCGATATTATTAAATTGGCAGGTGTAATTGCGTATTTAAGCATTCTGCATGTAAATTGGGTTTTTGAAATAATACAAATAAATCACATCGGCGCGATTAAATTTTTAATAACGGTGACCGTAATGCGAGTTCTTTGTTTACAAACAGGTTTTGTTTTGCAGAAGTAAATTTCCGCTAAAAAGTTCCTGTAAATAACACGAGAAGTTGCTCGATAATGTGTATATACCAACTGAGAATTTTATGTTGGTTGTGAATAATAGCCCAAACAAATAGACTATCCAGAAAAACCTACACAAAATGAAAAAATATGTTATGTCGAAGATAGGTAGGTATTTATAGTCTTTTTTCAAAGTGACGGGACGAGCAAGTCGTGCGCTTGGTGGTAAACTAACTGCACGACTGTCCATGACAGTTGCAGTGCCACTTATTGCTTTAAATCATACAGGTTTGAGTGGCATTGCCACTGCCCCCGTCACCCTGAGACATAGGTTTGATAAGTCCCATGTGCCAGTAATCTCACCAGCACCCTTCACATTACAGCTTGGAGGCAGAAATAGGTAAGGTGGCAGTACTACCCTGGACAAACTCTTTTACAAGGAGCTGGTACTGCTACTAAATTCAATCAAGTTACTTTTCTCTACATTATTTCGGTAGCGTCCGGAGGTTCGGAGCTCGTGTAAATTATCGTAAAATATTTTTACTATTTCAGGATATTAAATAATAGAAGTATTGTGAAGACAATAAAGAAATGTGCTCCCCTTGCTTCACATGCCTCTTTATCACACAAATTACCAACACAACACTTTCATGTTGCACTCTGACCATTAGACGAATGTAAGTTTGAATTACTTTAGACAACTATAATTGTAAGTATGCTCAAACTTCTTTTATATTTTATACAATAGATGTAAGATATACACATATGGATATAGAGGTGTATGTAACAAATACATGCAATTGAAATATTTAAGATATTTAAAAGTGTAAGCAAGATCAGCATCACTTATTGGTTTGTAATATTGATATCCAAGTGTGGAGGTTTGTAATCGGCTTATTTTTTTTATATTGTTTAGTTTTATACACCATTTTTAACTTATAGCTGTAAACTAAAATAATATTCTAGAATAACAAAAATTGCCACCGAAATTAAGCAGAGAAAACGAACCTAAACATTACCCAGATGTTATATTTAGCATTCAAAGATTAACTACTTAGTCTCCCAAAATGAGATAAGAGCGAAGTACTTACTCAGAATAAGGAGGAAACTTCTATAGGCTGGAGGGACGAAGTGAAATGTGCACACAATAAATTCTACCAGGGTTTTATATCAGAGGCAATTTGCTTCTTTTAACAAACCATGACGAAAACAACAGGGGATGCTATTTCATCCATTAGCTATATGGATCTGGTAATAAGATTCGTAGTTTTCCAGATAAAAAGTTGCGCAATAAATAAGTAACATAACTTAGGCATGTAGATAATGTTGACCTCAACATTATTTGAACAATTTCATACTTTGTGTATGTTTTTATAAACTCTTAATAAATCTAAAGAGCAGTCAATTATTATCCTCGTTATTAAGTTTTTAATGAGTGTCGAACTTATTTGTCAACATGTTGAGTTTCATAAAATGCATCATACTATATCATTATCATAATTATTGATGTCTGACATCCACTCGATCAGGTTGTAAACCTAGAAAAATAGCACGAAAGAAATTTTCACGTCTTGCCCGTGGACCACCTGCCTGGTTCACCTATATATGAACCACGAGCAATAATTTTATCCCGTGGTTTACCTCTTACGTATAAAATAGAAATTACTCAAAACTTATATTGGTGGTGGTCAACCTCAAACATTAACATTTTGAATACCTCCATAGCATGATTCGTTTCTAAATGATTAATTTTATTGATGTTTCTTGAACAATACAATATTGCTACCTTTTCGTAGAATTAAAATAAATTAAGTCCTCACTACTCTTTTATACCTACTTTTAAAATTTAATTTATCCGCAAATTAGTTCTTCAGGTAACAACTCGTCATATAGGTCAATTAATAGACAATAAAATAATCTTATATATCTTTGCAATTGAAAATACGCGAGGCGCACTATAAGTTTCCGCAATGAATAAGAAAAAAATACTATAAATGGTCTGAAAAATGGTCAGAAATGAATTTATTGTTTCTCAAAATATTCTCCGTTAGCGTTAATGCACTTTTTCATACGAATTAACCAATTTTGAAAACATTTATGACAAATTTTTCATACTCTTCGACAGCCTCTTCAGGTGATGAAAATCGTTGACCGCGTAACTGGTTCTTAATTTTTGGAAATATATAAAAGTCACAAGGTGCCAGGTCGGTACTGTACGCGGGATGGCTCATAAGGTCAACGTTGTTCACCTTTAAAAATTCATTTGTCTGTCAGGCCGTATGAGAACTGGCATTATCGTGGTGCAAGATGATACGGCATTTACGGTTATTTTTACGGAGTTTGTCAATCACTTCCGGCAAAGAAATGGTCGTGTACCAATCACTATTCATGGTACAACGATTCTCCAAAACAACAGTAGCCATGTGGCCAGTTTTATTAAAAAAAGAAGCAATCATCCGCTTAGAGGCACTTTGCACGCGCGCCACTTTGGTTGGTTTCGGCTCATCTCGAAAAACCCATACGCTCGATTGCTGCTTTGTTTTGGAATCGTAACTATAAATCCATGTTTCGTCACCTGTTACTATGTCCCACACCAAATTTGACGCCCCTTTGTTGATTCTGGTATGCATGGCATTGTACCAAGCAATACGATCCGTTTTTTTAGCCTCAGTCAAATTGTGTGGGATCCACCGAGAGCACAGCTTTTTCACAACCAAATATTTGTGTAGTATTGATTGTATTTGACTCATGCTATGCCTAAAGATAAGAGAATCTCATGGTGTGTCACATGCCTGTCTGTTTTGATCGTACGGCGCACAGCATCGATGTTTTTGTTGTTCACATCAGTAAACGGGTGACCATCACGAAATTTGTCACTGAGATTCAGACGACCGCGTTTGAATTCTGCAAACCAGTTAGAATTAGTCGTCTTGCATGGAGCTTCATCGCCAAAAGCAGTTTGAAGCCGAGTGAAGCTCAGCTGACCTGTTAAATTACACTTAAAGTCGTAGAAAATAATACTACGAAAATTTTGAAGATATCCATGTTTCCAGAGCCATGAAAATGACGCCACAATGTAAAAACAAGTGACAGTCAGATGAAACAAACTGTATTCTACAGCCAAAGAGTTCCATTTTCAAATGTTCTAATTACTTTTTAAATATTGTTTATGTAACTGGCCAGTTCCGGAAACTTATAGTGCGCCCTATGTATTACAATATTGAGTTTTAATAATAAGGTGTTTTATAAACGAAATAAGAATAATCCCTAGGTGAAGACATAATTACCGATGGTCCACCCAGGTGGACATAGGTGAACCACGGGAAAAAAATAATTGCCCGTGATCCATCCAGGTGAACCAGAGAGGTGGTCTACGGGGAAATTTTGAGCAGAGATGTAATTTATTTTTTCATGGGAACACTAAGTAAATAACCAATAAAAAACACGATACACAAAAATTCATTATATAAAATCACAAAGACTAAAAATCATAATTTCGACAGTTTGTCTAATCAACGTCGTTTTGCTTGTAATATAATTTAGGTTTTATCAATTTCAATTCATGCTTTTATTATATTGTCTTTTGGTAATATATGTATATTGTAGCCGTTAATGGTTCAATACATCCATTCACGTATTAATTTTAATTTCGAAACTTCCGATTTTTTTAATAACATATCAGCGCGGACATTTATTAACATTCCGTAATCTTCGGTACTTCATCTTTCATACTGGCTAGTACCAGATTCTTGTCAGTGCCTTTCAATTTCTTTGGCTCCAGAGCAGCCCTCATTTCAAGTGCTCGGGTGTCTACTTCTAGAGATTGGTTTTTGTCAGCCAAGTCTATCGCAATTTTTATGGAAGCATCTTCAAGAGCATTGTAAGTTGATCTGAAAAAAACTTATAATAATTAATAACATTCTTATTTAAAAAACCGTCCTCAAAAGTTTGCTTATCCGTTTTCGCTACAAAACATAAACGTAAACGCCGTTTGTTACTTAAAGTTAACAGAAACGCATTTGGAAGACCTAGTCAAAACGAATCATATGAGTCCAAATATAAGGTAGCTGCTGTACACTTTTGAGGAGTTCCTCGCGTCAGTCTGGCATAACATTTGTTTTTCATTGGAATGACATGTATGTGTAACGTGACCATACTCCCGCTTTTAGGCTTCGTGTCTCGCTGTCCCCAGAATACTTAAAAGTGTCCTGCTTTCACTAAGCAGAACACACGTAACAATAAATCTCTAAAAACGGTGCGAAAGCGAAAAACATTAAAGCCAGCCAACCAGGCCCAGACTACACATGATTAGTTTTTTTTTAAATTTTTGATTCATTAAACAATTATTATTATTATTTATTACTTTTTAATGTTTTTTATACTTAAACATTTCGTAATTATCATAAACGTGTCTCAAAGTCAAATAATCATTTATTTATTCCACAGGTAAAAAGAAATTACACTTGAAAACGTCATTTTTTAAACTACAGCTCGTTCACTGTGCTGGATTGCTCTTTTCAAATAAACTTAAATGCTATACAATAATACACTTTGAATCATATTTGTGTGGAATCTAGACTCATATTGTCTTTCCATACGTCTTTATCTAACACGTAGTCTACTATTTCGTTTTTTTTTCGTTTTTTTCGTTGACTTTTCAATTAAAATACTTTTAATGTAAGTTTTAAACTTAGGAAATGGCAATCTTAATATATGCTACGGAATCTCATTGTAAAAACGTATACAGTTCTCTATAAAATAATCGTTTACGTTAGTTAAACGGAATCGTGGTACCATGAGTTTGGACTTAGTTCCAAGGTTAATATTATGGATATCTTCTTTATTTACGGAATCATGTATATTTTTACGGGGATACAAAATATTTGAGTGAATGTACTGTGGTGCCAGTTCTAAGGTTAATATTATGGATATCTTCTTTCTTAAGAGCTCTTATGCCAAAAAAGTTTTTACGTTGGCTCCGCCCAAATTTGTGAAACAAATATGTATATGCCTGAAGTTCGCGTGACATGCGATAGGAGATGTTGAATTTTGCGCATTAAAAGTACCAAATTCGTTTTAGCGGAATAACTCTAAAACTAAAGGGATTAAAAAAAATCCGTAGTGACAGTTGTCGATCATGCATAAATATAATTAATTATTTAATTTTTCTCCAAATAAACTGTAGCATTTCGAGGATAAATCGAAAAAAATGTGAAAATTAGAGGTCATTTCGTGATTTTTATCTATCGAGGAAACTTTATTGTTTTATGTTTCTGATTAATGTCTATGCTTGAATATATCGTGTAGTTACTCATACAATATTTTATTTTTAACATTAAAGTAGATATACCCCTCAAAAATCAAATCGAAGATTAGGAATTTTTCCTCTACTCCCTCTTAACGAATTATGTATACTTTTATGGGCATACAAAATATTTGAGAAAATGTACTCTGATGCCACAGTCATGGTACTAGTCTCTTTAAACTTTTCTCTGAGAGAAACTCGAGTCTTTAAAACCGATTCATCATCTGACTTGCCACCTTCCACCACCGTACCAAGCCGGGTACTCTTAAGCAAGCTGTACTGTAACGTGGCAGATACAGTAACGAGGTTCTGGTGTATACTCGTGTAAACAGTCTGCACTCGCTAGAATGCGTAGTACCTAACTGGTTATCGTCGGCTCAGTGCTGACCGCAAGCGTTCCTCTCGCGGCAAGCTCACGCATCACGTACACTCTATGATTTTTGGTAACACAACACGCAACTGTTACGGTTACAGCTCGTGAGTATCCAGCTTTAGAGATGGTATTTTCTCAGATTGAAATGGGACCTCTACTGAGGTAACCCTTTTCCAACAAAAAATAATCATCAAAATCAGTTAACAAATGTCGGAGTAATGGCGTAATATACACAAAAAAAATGCAGTCGAATTGAAAAACTTATTTTTTGGAGTCGGTTAAAATAGTAAAAATATCGGCTAGTATGGTAAAGAAAAAATATACATTTGTGGCTAAAATGTTAAGTACAACAACATTTTATCCCTACCACACGTCCAATGACATAAAATATATATACATCCAACACAAAACGTAGATGGATCTACCGGAAATGAATTTTCCTTAACATAAATATTTGACGATAAGAACGTTTGCAAGTTAATCCTAATTCGATGGGCACTTTAGCAGCCTACGCTGCCCTCCTTGTCATAACTAAAGCGTGAAACACACAGAGAGCGGATGCGGGTCGGGCGTGTGTAGGGTCGGGAGTACGGCGGGTATAATTCCGTGTATTCATAATAATCACACGCTCGGTGTGTTGTTGTCCATATAAACATACGAAATTAGACCCGCCGCGCTCCCGACCCGACACGCAGCCGACCCGCATCCGCACTCTGTGTGTTTCATGCTTAACGCATTTGCATTTCAGTAACTTTCGAGAAATTGGCACCTAAAGTTTTTTTTCTAGTAAAATATGTGAACTACGCTGATTTTGCTTAACAATAAAACTGAAACTAAATAAGATATAAAAAAAACCACTTGGAGGGGTTATAGATTTCTTTCGCTGATCTTGATAATTCGAACATCAGATAATATTAGCTACGATAAGGAGGATAAGGGCAGTATGGTACCTAGCTAAACGACAACATCATTCATGTTTTTGCCCAACCCTGCTTACATACTAAAACGACCTTGAATGCAAATTTTCTTGCCAAAATTGTGAGCTTGTGAGGTATAATAAAGACAATGCTAAACGTGTTCCATTATTCTCCGGTGGACAACCGTTTGCTCCTTAACAGCTTTGGTGAATTGTTATGAATCTTTGCGTAATATTCCTAATGATAAAATAATTCGTTGCTAGCAAAATCATATTTTAAACGCAAGTTTGTAAAGAAAATATTTGTGTTGTAATACTTTCGCATTTATAAAGTTAGTTTGGAAAAATAGCTTTCATTAATTACTATGTAAAATTTTTGTCCACACTTTTAACCATAACCAAGTGCTTTTAAAACTAATTTTCGATCATCCATCTTCTCTGCTTGACCAAACTGTTGAAGTATTTCTTTTATAACATTGGTTTACATAAATGCGATTCCGTTAATGTATAAATAGAGGAATTGCATTTTTTGAAACCGAAATTCGTGTAGTGTTTTAGATAACGCGTTATATGTAAATTAGTTTTTTGTAGTTCTTTTCATTTCTATTTTCGTCACGAGAAATAGACGGCAATAGCCTAATAAAAACTCTTGGAACATTTTGAAGCGCCATTTATTGACGGAATAATGAGTTATTTAGAAGAGAGCTAGTGTTAAACAGCCTATATGTATGTACACACATCAAAAGTGTCCAGGGATCAAGCACGTTTTTGCCAATTACTGTAAATCAGGTTCTTTAATAATTTTTTTAAAACCAATAGCTTTTTGGTCAATTTCCTAATTTAAAAAGTAAATAAATAAATTAACAAATTTATATAGATATTATTATTCAATTTTAATAGGGTAATTAAACATGAAAAAAGAAATATGTCGTAACATAAATAACTCGAATGCATGCACATCAACTTCGGGACCTTCCTATAGTCATACCAGCTGCCAACTTCGATGTCAATATATTAGACAAATATTATCATTAAAATCGGAATCGGATGAAATGTGGCTATAGTACCGGCACGCTATGATGGCCGTTTTGACGTTTGTCCACTCATCAAGTTTCGTGTTAATGCATAACTACGTTGAAGGAGCTAATTGCTGTACATTGTTGTCAATAGTGACGTGCAGTAAAATTTATGGAATGTATAATTTTACGACATAGCTCAGTATTTGTTGTTCGACATACGAAATTTAAAAAAATGAAATCTAATACTATCGATCACTTATGTGATCACTGGCCACCACAACTTCTACCTCCAGCAAACTTGCAATGAAAAAAGCTCAATGCAAAACCAAGAAGTTTCGAATTGACGATATTATTAAGTAAACATTTTTATTTTGGTTTTATTAAAACTTTTTAATCAGCTACCCCTTGTAATACTAGTTACAAATCTAAAAACTTATAGATGTGACTCGCATTTGATTATATTCTTTGTGATAATGAATTGAGATTTGACCTCACTATTGTAATCTGTCAAAATGGCCAACATAGCGTGCCGGTACACAACAGATATTTTTTCCTATCTTTCGAAATTAAATTGCAATTGGACTTACTTATATTAGGTACAAGTGAGGAGTGAGAATGTTCACTATACAGTTTATTATTAGGGATAGAATAATGTTATACTCACTTTCCGCAATCCAACTTTTCTTGCAATTGGCGGATAGTTTCTCTCAAGTTTCGGACTTCTTCCTTCAATCCAAGATCAGCTTCATCAGATGCTAATTCAATCCCAGGCCTGTACCCTCTAGTCTCCAAACGAGTTTCAGCCAGTTTCAAAGCATTGACCTTATCAGCAAACTGCTCTCCCATTACCTTTAATTCCGTTGCTAGCTTGTCCATGTTTTCTTCCATCTGCCAAAAAAAAAGTAATTGCAAAATAGAGACGTATGAGATTTTGTTTCAGTTAAACCAAAGATCATTCATAAAAGCAAACGAAAACAAAACAAATGACACGCGCCCAAGCAAAAACAGGCTTAAGCCTTACTTTTTAAGTTTAGAGACCTTAGAAGTCACATAAAACCTTGTTACGATTTATTGAGCATTTTACGAACATATAATTAGATACGTGTGGCGCACTATGAGTTTCCGGAATCAATAAAAATATACTATAAATGGTCAGAAATGATTTTATTGTTTCTCAATATATTTTCCGTTAGAGTTAATGCACTTTTTCATACGAATGAAAACATTTATGCCACTCCTTCGTGACAATCTCTGAAACATATTTTTCATACTGTTCGACAGCCTATTCAGGTGATAAAAATCGTTGACCGCGTAACCGGTTCTTAATTTTTGGAAATAATGAACTGGCTTCTTGTGACTTTTATCACAAGGTGCCAGGTCGGGACTGCACGCGGGATGGCTCATAAGGTCAACGTTGTTCACCTTCAAAAATTCATTTGTCTGTCTGGCCGTGTGAGAACTGGCATTATCGTGGTGCAAGATGATACGGCGTCTATCGTTATTTTTACGGAGTTTGTTAATAACTTCCGGCAAACTAATGGTCGTGTACTAATCACTATTCACGGTACAACGATTCTCCAAAGCAACAGTAGCCACGTGTCCAGTTTTATTAAAAAAAAGAAGCAATCGTCCGCTTAGAGGCACTTTCCACGCGCGCCACTTTGGTTGATTTCGGCTCATCTCGAAAAACCCATACGCTCGATTACTGCTTTGTTTTGGGATCGTAACTATAAATCCATGTTTCGTCACCTGTTACTATATCCTACACCAAATTCGAAGCCACTTCGTTGAATCTGGTAAGCATGGTATTGCACCAAGTGACGCTATCCGTTTTTTGAGCCTCAGTCAAATTGGGTGGAATCCACCGAGAGCACAGCTTTTTCACACCCAAATGTTTGTGTAGTAGATTCAGATTCAGATTAATTTATTTCTCAAATATGACATTACAGTATAAATTGCACTACATGTCAAAGTATAAGAAATTATATTGAGATCGTCAGACAAAAATGAAAATTATAAGAAAAATACACAATAAACAGAAAATTAACAATTAATTATATAATATAGTTGTCATTCAATTACATATCAAATATCATTCTCCATCAAGGATCGTCATAAGTTGATAACAATTATACAAGAGTTTGTTAATGCCGTAAAAATTAGAATAAAAATAGAAAATACTCAATTCGTTTACAGATTGTAGTATCGATTGTATTTGACTCATGCCTATGCCTAAAGATGCCCGAATCTCACGGTATGTCACGTGCCTGTCTGTTTTGATCATACGGCGCACAAAATCGATGTTTTTGTTGTTCACAGCAGTGGACGGGCGACCATCACGAAATTCGTCACATAGATTCACGCGATCGCGTTTGAATTTTGCAAACCAGCTACAAATAGTCGTCTTGCATGGTGCCAAAAGCAGTTTGAATGCGTGCGAAGCACCGCTGAGCTGTTAAGTTACACTTAAAGTCGTAGAAAATCATACTACGAAAATTTTCACGCGTTAAATCCATGGTGATGTAGACAACCAATTTCTAAATAGACGCCACAATGTAAAAACAAGTGACAGTCAGATTGAAACAAACTGTATTCTACAGCCACAGAGTTCCATTTTCAAATGTTGTACTTACTTTTTAAATATTGTTTATGTAAGTGGCCAGTTCCGGAAACTTATAGTGCGCCCTATGTATTACAATATTGAGTTTTAATAACAAGGTGTTTTATAAACGAAATAAGAATAATCCCTAGGTGAAGACATAATTGCCGATGGTCCACCCAGGTGGACATAGGTGAACCCTACGCCTATAGTGCGCCCTACGTATATCTTTATAAAGGATTATGTTATTGGACAAAATCGTTAAATATATTTACGTTGGAAGAAAAAAAAGACGATTTCAAAATATTTTCCTTGAGTGTCATGTTACTAGATTCCGGAAAATGTAACGCACACTGTTCTGAAGGTGAGCGTAACATTTGGGATTGTACCTACACAATAATATCAATTTCAAAGTTCGAAATCCCTTAACGTTTTGTTTTGTTAGTTCATTTTATTAGGTTTAAATGGATACTAAGTGCAGATTTCTCTAACTCATAATTAATTCAGAGAAAGATAGCTGACAAGAGCAGTATGGTATTGCGAAGACATTTCTGGCTGAATAATCTGCAGGACTGGTATAAGGAATGTCCTAGCCTAAAGGAAAACCAGCACTGTTTGACTTTTCAGAGTCAGAGCTATTTCAGTATAAACTATTGCAAATCGGTATGTCTGTCTCATTCTAATGAACATAAACATTGAATATTCTTTAATAAAATGGAAGTGAAACTAAAACCAAAAATTGGTTTCACTAAACTGCAATACTAATTACGAATATTTTAAATGTGATTTGAAACGTTTTAGTTTTAATTAGAGTAAGCAGAACATCTCAAAATTAATTGAAACATTTTAACTTGAAAACGCGTTTTTAGTGCGAATTAAGTATGAGTTTTTATCTCGAGATTTCTAATCGTTCAAGTCGTAGCAAAATAATCAGTCGAATCAAAAGTTCACGTGTCTTTACACGACTGCCGCAGACTGAGGGTTATGTTTTTCGGGTGTATAGTAAGATACTGTATAATTTTACTGTAGAAACACACGTACCGGTCGAAATTTAGGTTGGCATGAAGATGTAAACCGAAGAGTTCAAGATGGACATAGACAAGCTCAACTCCGCTTTTGGATATTAGCTACCTTGGTCTATAAATTTAAGATTCCAGGAATTACGGTTTTGATACGTGTCTAACGTACACAGAGGGACATCTTCTATTTGTCGAAGTTTAATAGTTTTGAGAAAACTCTCAAATGTTTATCCAATTAAAATTTTCATGTTCGATAAACTCGACGAGCCAATAAGGAATGTCCTAGTTTAAAGAAAAAACTATTATTGTACAGGCAGAAAACCAGCGAGTTTGACTTTAACAACTGCCTCCGTGGCCGAACGGTTACCATGCTGGACTGCCACGCAAGAGGTCCCGGGTTCGATTTCCGTGCCGGGAGAAATATTTGCATGGCCTACATTTATTTTTCTCGTGAGTTTGGGTGTACTTTGTGGTTGTCTATGTGTATGTCTATGGCACCCGCGACCCAGGCTGTCCCTAGTGCGGGGCTATGACTGTAAGCGTTAAAAAAAAGAGCAAGGGCCATTTCAGCACAAACTGTTGCAAATAGGTATGACCTGTATAAAATTTTGTTTTTCTCTATAAATACGTGTTTATATCAATGCGTACTGATTTATGTTCTATGTGATTTTGTGTTACCTATACCTTGTGAAGTGATTGTACATAATGTTTGTTTCTGCGTGTAATTATGCTGAATATTATGTGTGCATCGATATTAAAAAAGGAGACGCGTTATTGGAAATATCATTCATTGTTAATAATATGGTGTTGTTGTTAAATTTAAAATGAAAATATTTTTTTCGGATGTAAATAGCGATTTGTTTTACCAAACATCATTATTCATTATTGTATTACTGCGTTCCGGTTTCGAAGGGTAAGGGTGCTGGTGAAATTACAGGCACTTATCAACTTATGTCTCAGGGTGACGGGCACAGTGGTAGTGCCCTTCAGATCTTTGCGATTTAAAGCTCTGAGTGGCACTGCAACTGTTATGGACAGGCGTGTAGCTCACCATCAGGCGCACGACTTGTTCGTCTCATCACCTGATGTTGTAAAAAAAAACAAACCAACGTTTCGGGCTCTTTACAGTTCCTATGGTCACGACTGACTTTATTGACCGATTTAGATAAAAAAAAGTAGTTTCATTTCCAATGTATAGTAATTACGAAAACCATTTTGCCCATAAAGTTTGTTAACAACCAAATTCTATTAGTTTAAAAAAAAACTATAAATGTTAATGTGTGGGACTAGCCGGACCGGAAAACATGTCCTTTTAAATTGTTTCCGGTGTGGGTGATCACGATAATGTCTGAAATTTCATTAATCAGGTACCCATTACCGACTCATAGCGACGAGAATTCGAGAGTGAATTTCTAATAGATATTCTTTTATTCATTAAACGCGATCCTATGTAACGTTGATATCTCGTGATCGGTGCATTTAATAAAACGAATCAGCTATAAAAACCATAATTAGGCATAACACCGCGTTGACTTTGTTGGCTCTTGTTTGTGTATGTAATGAATGTGAAGAAATCGGTAGCCTGTCTCCTATCAGGCAGTGTCAAACTTAGTTATTTTAACTAACGTTAGATGTTTTCAATTGTTGAGTTTACCTTCATCTTCTGCCAGTCAAGCTCATTTCTCGCGCGTTGAGTTTCGTAAATCCTCCTACGCAGCATATAATTGGTGACGTCAGTTTGTGCGCGCAAAGTGTTCCTGGCCCTTTCTCTGGCTACAAATAGAGACTCACGAAGTCGTAGTGTATCTTGTAGTTCATCCTGTGCCATTTGTCTATTTGCTTCCACTTTTTGCAACCATTGCTCGCCTGTTATCATCCTGTAATGCAATCAAAATGTGAGGTTATTCTCTAATACAACCTGAAATTTATTTGTGTAGCAAGTCTAGTAGTAAAATAGAGTAAAGCACTAAGAAATAAGCAAAGTAATAAAAGGTGAACGATGTAATAAATTAAGTATTTTAAGGCACTGTTATTATTAAAAGGTGTTTAATAGTATTTTACGACGTTTTGCCTCCATTTGTTCAAATAATTTTCGAACAATAAACTTTATATTACACAACATTATGACCAAGTGTACAACGTAATCGTTTTCTTGTAAAATCTGTTTGCATAATAAATTCTGGAGCTCGAATCGAGTTAAGAAATATTGGCTCTAACTATTTAAAACCTAATAAATCATCATCGTAATTCCTACACTGCTGAGCATGCTAGAGAGTTTCATTGCGGCGAGTTACATGCCTTTACAGAGTATTTTATGAACTGTTCCGAAATAACTCTTTATTTACATTTATTATGTTACATTTACATTATTTAATAACAAAAAAATATATAAAAATGGAATGTCAGCTAATTCAGCTAGTTCTAAATTATAATTTACCTTTTAGGCGTCTTCAAAGAATCAGTCTTATAAGTAATATTGGCGCAGTCTTTATCTAAACTCAGCATGTTTTTATCAATGGTTAAAGCTTCGGTTTTGTCATTCAAGTCTAGTTGCAATTTAAACTTGACAGATTCCAGTCTGTTAATCTTCTCCCATGTGGATTGACATCGGTCTATGAGTAATTTCTTGTTCGCCTCAGTTACACAAAGTTCCTAGTGAAAGAGACTGAGAAATTAGTTTTCAGTAGTGCTTTTAGTTTGTGTAGGTTATTTTTACATCGGCTTACGACTCGGGATTTCACTACTAAACGATAATCTCAGCCAGGGTCCCAAATCTGCTAATTTTAATTCATCTCAATTGTGTATCGGCATAGCGTTAATGGCAGTTGTGCGTTTGATATTCTGTTACAAGGTGAAGTGCGTTGCTACTACTATTCAAGCTACTATTCAACTGACAAGCGCTGCCATTCAACTGCCATTGCGATTTTTTGGTGTTCTACTCTTCAATAATATTTCTTTTTATAATCCCTTGACGAGAACATGCCGAACCTATAATAAATTAATAATAACATCAGTATCTGGAGGTCTCATTGATGTTCTTGACAACAACATCTACAGATTTCGTAACAGTATTCAGAATCACTTCGCCTTGTTTTCTTATCAGTCATCATTTGTATTATTTATATCCACTAGTTTTTAAGCTTTTGTATATTATTTAATGTTTATTCATATACACTTGTTGAAGAAACTGAATGCTTACTTTCTATTAATGTTTACGAGCTGAATAATCATGCTATATGTACCTATATATGTTAGGTTTACATCATAGATTAAAACCATAAATTGTAACACTTATTGGAGTACCATTGTTTCGTCGAGAGTGTGGTCTACTAATTATTTGATATAAAGAAAATACATTTAATTTGAAGATTAAATTGCAGTTTAAACAAAAAAACAAATAAAAATTGTTTATTGAATAACTTATTGTACAAATGAATAACTATGAATGAATAACAAAAAAACAAGATAAACATTAAAATTTTCATGGTAATTTTAGTAGGGCAACATCGAACGTCAATGAGTGACTGAATGAATGAATACCATCAAAGTCTAGTCAATCAAGTTAGGTACAAAAAATTTGAAAAATTGGAGAGATGTAATTTCGAAGGCTAATACTATGTTCTCGTTTCGAAATATCTTTTGAAGTTTTATTTAGCGTGAATTATAAAATAAACTTGAATAGATAAAAGCCACCTAAAGAAAAAAACGAGATTTAAAATGGATTTACAACGAAAAAAAGTCGTTTTATAATGGCTCCATCGTTTTCGTTTAGTAACTTCAACTCTTGACTTGTGTCAACATCAATTGTGGAAAATTAAAGGAAAAATATTAGAAAAATATACGGAGAAATATTTATTTTTCTGACAAATATGATTTTTCATAATGGAAGTTTTTCCATGACCCAACACTACTTTATTGAAACTAACTGCCATTGTATATCATAGTATATTTTAGTAGATAACAAATATTATCATAATTGCAATATAATCTCAGTGGAGTCTCAATGGAATTACAATGACCAGTGATTTCAAGAAAATTAGCAGAATTGGTGCCTAGGTCCAATGCGGGTTGATGTCTCCCCACGTTTTCGAAAATTGTAGTAAAGCTTCTCCGCCATATGATTTTCATGAAGATGTTCTCCTTTACCATTATGTTATGTTATTATTAGTTATCTAAACTAGGGATATTCGCTGAACATCAATGTATCGAATCTATTCGATGTTTATTGTGCGATGCATCGGATTGATTCGATGTTTTGACAAAAAGTAATTCTATTCGATGCATCGATACTTTTGAATAAAAACATCGAATCATAGAAAACACTAACTCTGGCGTGCGTTTCAATTTGATATTGTAAGTCATTTAGTGTTTGTGTTATTTGTATTTATAATTTTTATTATTTATTTCTTATTTAATGCTTATTTCATTCTTCTGTGAATGAATAATTGAACATGTATCGAACTTATTTGTCTATTTTAGACAGTTTGCCTAATCGCAAAAAACATTCCTACAAGGAATTGTTCTTGTTTATAAACATTTCTATTAATTTGCAGTTTTTTTTTCACCTATAAATGTGAGTCTTACCGATGCAATACTATTTTTTTTAACTTCTTGGCTTCTCTTGACCAGTATTACTAAACTAACATACAATATCATAAATTAAATACGTCACTACAGCGACAGCACCACTCTATAAAAAAGTAGTGGATGTTGAAAAAACATCGATGTTTTTAAGCGATGCATTGAAAACATCGATGCAGGGTTTCGATGTTTTAGGTCTAGGTAATGAGGTTAGGTAATGAAGACATCGATGTATTTTCTAAGTGGACACCCCTAATCTAAACTGCGCCTGTGTCGAGGTCTGCAGTAGTGTAGGTCAGAAGGTGGGAATCAAACCGAACTCATATAGGCTACCACCACCACTTACTACCACCTACCACCTCTCTTTGTGTTCTACGAATTATATTTTATGAGCTTATTTTGTATGGCTTATTGTGATAAACTTAGTTATTGCAATAGACTTAGATATTGTTATTTTTAGGCAACAGACTTGAAGGACGTAAGACCTAGTTATCTATAGTACAGGGGATCCTAGTTTGGGAGCTAGGCACATCTCTATTACCTATTTTTCTGTGTTTTGCAATAAAGATTTATTAATTTTTTTATGGGAGATAGTCTTAACTACCTCAGTTTTTTTACTATAATTTCACACGTCGAAACGTAATACTAGCACCAACTAGCAATCACAATAACAAACTAAAAAATCTTTACAAAATTAAACACAACGGATAAATTTCATAAAGAAATTAAAGAAATAGCAAAAATTAGAAAAATTTAAAGAGATAAGTTATTCTGAACTGTGATGCATAATATTAGGTAAAGCCTAGTGAGAGAACGTTGATGATGGTTCCAATACCTGTGGCAGCATGTACCGATCTATGACTTTATTTTCAAAATTACGGACATTAAATGTTTAGTATCAATATCCGAGAGATATCAATCCTTGGAATTTATGAAAAGGCTCTAATTCGTAAGGTGACGGTGAATGAATAAATGCATTATAGAGTTGCTCTAATCATTTCAAATACTGTCACCTTTTTGAGCTCCATGTCTGCCATGTCATACGTCAACTCCGTACTGCGCTTACCATCTCGATTAGATAAACATTCCGAGCAAACGAGCAAAGGCATGTTTAGTTGTTCTAACTCCCTTTCAGTTGAAGCTTTTTCTTCTTTCAAGAGATTCATTTCTCTATCAATACGTGTGAGAAGGTCCTCAATTGTTGATTTCCATTGCTCAATCTCATAAATTCTGCAAAAACGTGATAATGTTAGTGTGTTTCAATGTCATATAAAACAAAAGGGCTAGCACGATAAGGCGCGACTTGCGTGAGAACGGCATAAAGAACGAGATAAAGATAAATGATGCAAAATTCAATTGTTAACTTATTATACAACCCCTGTTGTTGTACCTAATTATTTCCATCTGTTCTAAAACACTTACTTTTCGCAAAAATACTCAACACAGGCGCAGCTATTTTGTAAGATTTAAACTTCACTGGGTTCGCGGAGTGGCTAATTAATTTACTTCCACTTTTATTAACATGGACTTCCGCAAATAATGCCGGAATCTATTAATTGCCTAAACATTTTTTTATTGTCATCAGTTCTATACTTATATTATTGTAGGAACATAATTATAACTATTTTAAAAAAATATAAACCGACCTCATTTCTACCATCAGATCATGTTTGTGGAAATACTTCATTTTGCCAAGTTTTGTTGAAATAGGTTACCGTTAAGTGCGCGAAACCAGATTCATGTGTGCATGCACACGTGGAAGTTGCAAAGAGATGCTAGACGCTAGACCAAGCACTGTGAGCGGTACGACCGTCTCCACAGGCGCCCCAGCGCGCGCGACTGCTGTGAATCCAACGATAGAGGTGGAATATTTTTTTTATATATTTTCTTCAAATTTAAATAGGACCAATACTGAGGTACCCTCTTTCCAAAAAAAAGAATCATCAAAATAAGTTCACAAACGTATCGCGTAACACACATAAAAAAATACGGTGGAATTGAAAACCTCCTCCTTTTTTTAAACTAATAATAATAATAATAATAATAATAATATTTATTTGTCACCAATTACAACTAACAAATTACAAGTTATAAAAATATAACAAAGTTTTATAAGTTGTAGTTATATAATACCAAAATATACTGCATTCTAAACTAGGGGATCCTGTATCTTAGAAAGCAGGAATGAGTAGTAGTAGGAAAGAGTAGAGTTTGTAGGTTAGACGAACTCAGTAGGTAAATAATAAATATCATTATAATGAAAGCCATGTTATTGGCCAATTTGAATTTTATATTGCATTTCACGTAATATTAGGTTGGGGAAGACTGAACGGTGTTCTGCATAAGTGACAATCTACAAATCCTGAAATGACCTATTTATTAATGCTGTCTTATTCTATTAAACTTAAACATTGAATATTCTTTAATAAAATGGAAGTAAAAATAAAACCAAAAATTGGTATCATTAAACTGCAATACAAATTACGTATATTTTAAATGTAATTTGAATTAGAATTAGAATTAGTTCTAATTAGCGTAAGCAGGACATCTCAAATTAAAGTGAATTAACTTTGACACTTTTTTTCGACGAGTTTTTCGTACGAATTAAGTGAGTTTTTAATACTCGAGATTTCTAATCGTCACAAGTTGTAGCAAAATAATGAGTAAAATCAAAAGTTTACTTGTCTTTACTCGACTTCCGTACAATGTGGGTTATCTTTTTTGGGAGTATAGTAGATATGTATATATATATCTTACTGTAAAAAACACATGTAGCGGCCGAAATGTATAACTGCTTCCGTGGCCGAACGGTTACCATGCTGGACTGCCACGCAGAGGTTCTGGGTTCGATTCCTAGGATGTGAGAAATATGTGTATGGCCCACATATATTTATCTCGTGAGTTTGGGTGCAATTTGTGGTTGTCTATGTGTGTGTCCAGGCACCCGCGACACAGGATTTCCCTAGTGCGACGCTATGAAAGTGATGCGTAAAAAAAAGGATGACATAAAGATGTAAACCGACCAGTTCAAGATGAATATAGACAAGTAACAAGCTCGACGTCGCTTTTGTGTATTGGCTGCCTGGGTCTATAAGTTTCAGATTCCAGGAATTACGGTTTTGGTAATTTTCATTTTATTAACTTGTCGAAGTTTCATAATTTTGAGAAAACTCTCAAATGGTATATGCCCAATTAAAATTTAAATGTCCAATAAAATACTTATAATAATAAAAATATATTAACTGAATCACTGCCGTAAACAAGTCAGCTAAAAGGTTTTCCTAACGTTTTTATGAAAAATAACTCAACAAAATAGCTCAATCTCTGAAAGGTATTATCCTACCTTTTAAGGCCAAGGTTCACATGGCGGCTAATTGCCAAATTGAGTAATACTCTGTTCATATTCAGTAATTTAACATATTGGGTTACCATGAAGAATACAACCTCTTTTATTATTATAACTTTTTTATTATTAAAAAAATCGATTTCAATAGTTTATCTATTAGCTTTCACTGGTTTTGGCACCACGGTCTCCTCAACTATAACTGAAACGTATATGGAAGTCTTCATCAAAACGAATCATATGAGCCCAGACATAAGCAAGTTGTTGAACACTGCACATGAGGTCCTTAATCAGGTCAGCTCTAGGTCACCATAACATTTTATTTGGAATGACACATACGTGCCAAATCTTGTTAAAATTGGTTAATGGGAAGTAGGTGAAATCCAATAAATCGGATTCATCCCCTAATTTGACACCCTTAAAGGTGAAATGTTTTCTTTAAATTTGAATTGGTCCATATTGGTTTCCAACAAAATAAGGATCCTCGAAATCGGTTCACAAGAGTCGGAGTAATCGTGTAACATATGATATATATATATATAGCAAAAAATACAGACGAATTGAAAACCTCCTCCTTTTTTGAAGTCAGTTAAAAACAGAAAAACTACTGATACTACTACTACTAATATACTAAACTACTGATTTTTTTGATTAGAAAACCCTATGGAGGTAAAACCTAATGGTAAGTTACATAGACCACATTAAAAAAGAAGGTAAATACGGCATCATGTAAGCTAAAAGTCTAAAAAAGTCTAGCAGCGAGGTTTTCAAGTAGCTACACTGACATGAGCAAAGCTCTTAAATAAAACAAGAAGAGTTTATAACGAAAAAAGTAATTTCAGTATGCCTTACTACCTGTTATTTTAATTTACTCAACGATGAAAAACAAAATCTTTTATTTTATAAACACGTCTAATTATTGTCCAAACACTATTCTATTCCAGTTACAACGAGATTGGACGTTTGTACAGTTTACTTGCTATGTACAGTAAACTGTATCATATACTAAAGTGTATCTCTAATAACATTTCATATAATGCCGGCATTTTCTTTTTCTATTATATACAGTCATTCATACTCTCCCAAAGAGTGGGTGTTCCTTCATAAGAACGATGAATAAGGAAAAGTGTAAATTGATTGCCTTTTCATCATAGATCTTTTCATTCACTAGCAACTAAGAATCAAGCTAAATTATTTTTACTTTAGACACCATATTGCCATAAATCATGTCTTAAGGTTTCTGAATCAAAATATCGTTTCTAAACTTTGGAATTTCTTAAATGATTCAGAACAGAATCTCCAGAATTGAACCATTACTCTCGTAGATTACATATAATTCGATGATTTGAACATTGCACTGACAGATAATTTTGTATTAGTTCTTCTTAGCGAGTTCCTGTGTGAATTGAATTTACATTTTTTAACAGACTTCAAAAAAAGGACAAACTCTTTTAATTCTACTGTATTTTTTTTAATGTTTTTTTACACGATTACTTCGTTTGTGAACCTATTTTGATGATTTCTTTTGTTGGAAAGAGGGTACCTCAGTATTAGTCCCGTTTAAATTTGAAGAAAATATTCCACCTCCAGGGGTGGGAAACTAGGGGATGTGTCCAGTTTGTCGCACTTTCCGGTGACCGATTTCAATAAAACTTGGCATTTGTAATTCCACGAACTTTCGAGGTCAGTTTTTATTAGTACTTCAGTCTATACTGACGTTATTCAGGTACGAGTATCCATTAAGTGTCTTTAGTTTTCGTGGCGTGGATTTCGGATTAATAATAAATGTCAATCATACAAAACCTTACCTGGCGCTGAGGCGATTGTTGTTATGATAGCTGTCCCAATCGGTCTTGATCCTAGTTTCATTGCGGAGCTGATGGGCGCTGTGGCGAAGGTCAAAGGCATCAGCTCGCCTGGTGTCTGCTGTTACCTATAAGAACGAGGATTGAAAAGATTACGTCAGCTTTAGCAACCAGTTACCCGACGCGAAAGTTGTCGGGCGGCCGCCGCGCGGCGTCCGGTCAGTTACCACGCTTTCACGTACATTAATGGCAAATCTGAACTCTATTACTAGAACGATTCTAGTACTCAAGAATTCCGTTTTATAAAATTATAATAAAAGTACTTAATACAAACTATTGTAGTTATATTAAACGGAATTCTTAAGTGTTTAATTATCTGCAAAAGGATTAGCAAATGTGTATATAAAAAAAAAGTCAGATGAGATATGACCTTCCCTATAACCTTAGCAGGCAGGCAATTTGATCAAGTTACGGGTATAAAACTTTTCTAATTTACCCGGCGTATCAAGCCTCACCGTTAAATTATTGAAGACTCATATTGAGCCCAGTCAATGTTTAAAATTGTTGTGGTAAGCACCCTTTGTTAACTAGTTGTGAATTTGTTTGAATTGCATTTTATGAGGTGATTAGGTTAGTTTGGTGAGTTTTGGGAAAACAGACACAAAGGTATCCTGGTGCTTTCGATTTTATTCCGTAGGGATTTGCAATTCGTCCAAATTTATATACTTTAACATATTTTCAATAATATATATTAATAGAATTTTGTTTCAAGAAATATATGTTAAAGATATCCAAGGCCTATCTATTAGACCAGTGAGGTCAAATAGTTGAATCAAGAGACATAATCAGGTAAACAAAAGATAGCGAATCTGCCGTGGCGGTCAGTCCGTCAGACAATCAGCCATATACAGTGTCAAAAAAGCAGATATATAGATTAAGTGCAGTGTTAATTTTATCATTAATGTTAATATGTCAAATATAACATATCCAATAGTGTAATGCATCTCTAATTATGATGGTGAATTTCGGCAGCGTGTATATTTTTGTTGCTCTTTTTTTTGATGATTTGGCCGTTTAAAATTTTTTCAATCAATAGTCACTAATCGAAGAATGGTGATTTTGGGTTAACATTAAGTATATTATTAATATAATTATAGCGAAAAGTTTCTCACAGATGATTATTTTTGTGACAATTGCAGGTGTCCATTAGCATTTAAAAATACCTTATGTCGGAATATTAAGAGAACTTAATTTTATCATTAGCTCTAAATAAATATGTATCAAGTACATACTCTAAAAGTGTATGTAACTAAAGCGATCACAAGGTACGTTTATCCGCGATCAGACACAATTATGTACCTGTAAGCCATATAGTCGAGCATCCCAATCGGGCAAACTTAGATGGGGTATCGGCTTCTCAAAAGTAACGACCGATTGCATGGTGTAATTAAATAATATAAGTATTAAGTAACAAATTCTTATGTATATATTGAAAATTAGAGCACCAAATTGATCCGAAATTGTCAGACTGTGGATTTGAAATGGACTGTCAATAACATCAGTGGGATTCTATTTTTAAAATTAAATAACAAACGTGCCTGTGCTGATTATTTAGTGCTGAGTAGTTTTTATCTATAAAACATTCTAATAGAAAGAAAATTTTTTTTGAGAAGGACAGTACGTTAAATATAGGACCAAGCCTACATCACATATTCTGAAATATGACAATGGTGTCTTGATAAAAAATAAAGCGATAATCAATGCCTGATAGAGTAGTCAACTACTGACTTTTCGTTATACAAAAAATGATGATCGACCACAATGACACATTAGTGTCCATGCATATCATTGATGACGACGGAAAAGACATAAAGAGATTCAAAAACAACTAATCCATAGGTATCGATAGCTTAACATACTGTGTAAGTAGTGTGGCGTAAAATTTAAGGAAATTGAGCTTATCTTACGGATGTTGTAGCAGAAACGATAAACATAATATTATAATGTGGAAACGACATGCACCATTAAGAAGGCAAACAGGGAAAATGCAACAATTATATACGCATCATCCCACAACCAACGGCGTGTAAAATCTTGTCGTACGTTCTCCTAAAGAGACTCGAATTCTGTACGGAATAGATTCTGGGAAATTGTTAGAATAAGTTTAGACGTGCGAAGGCTCCATGGACTAAATGTTATTGCTTAGATAAATGATGGAATATAGGTGCTGGAAAGATCAGGTGGAGAAAGATGCAGATCTTTCGCAAGTTTCAAGCTGCTGAATAGCATGGAATAGCTTATAACAGACTCTAATGACGTCTTACGGTTGGAGAGTCGAAAATTCGCCTTGTGTCACTGCGTCAGGATAAGTAAATTGGGCTCGTGGAGAGTTGAGATGAAGCCGGATTAGGGAGCCTTAAGGCTTACTTGAGCAAGATATATTGGATGTAAAAAAAAGCTTTAGTCATATTTTGAGATTTGGTTTAGTCATAGTTAAACTGTCCATGAAAATGCAATGTTGAAATTCAAACTTGATAAAAAAAACCTAATTCTATATAAGTCTGTCTTACTACAAAAAATGTCTACAGAGTCAGGGTACTTATTTAAATAAATCATTTTCTAATATTACTACACTCTTTTGATATACTATGCACAATAAAATATTTATTAAACTAGGAATTTGTTAGTATTTTATTAATAAACTTTTGTACAAAAATAATTTACCTCTAAATTAATATTAATATACAATACTCGTATTTTGTACATCCCTGTCTTTGTTTTGATATATAATAAGGTAACCAGCTACTACTATGAGTACATTAACTGTACTCCGGGGAAACCAAAACGAGGTAAAATTACAAAACCAAGGCAAATCCCTATTTGTAGAACTCGAAAGTGTTCCCCAATGTTTACTAACAAGGGTTGAGTAGAAAACAAGCTATCCGACATGAAGAATTATTGTCGATCGCCCTACTTTTCCTATTAAGAAGAACTGAGAAAGTTTCATACTTCGCGGGAGGCTACTGGGCCACTCGTAGGGTGTTCGTGACCGTAAATTTGTCCACAATTTCTTTGCTGATACGTTCTGGAATTTTGCCAACTTTTCGTCGCTAAATAAGAGCTATCTTAGATTTTGCCTCGCAGTCTAAAGTAGTGCTATAGTTACTATGTTACTGCTATTTCCTTGGCTCTTGCGTTCAGCTAAAGGTCTGCAACTCATAGTTTACATTCAGTAAAGAATAAAATGTATTATAAGAAACTTTTTTGTACATACATTGTTAACGGTTTTGACAAATACTTGAATAACTAACACAAATTCGCAAATGTATGCATTGACATTATTGGTTTTCACCTAGTATGAAGGATTTTCCTTATTAAGTAATCCAGCTAATCAAATACTTATCAACGAATACAGTAGACTGCCCTGTATAGATAGAGAACTTACGAATAGGCACATATTTATAGATATGACCATATACAACTTGTTTTTCCTTTCCCTAGTTTTATATAAGTAGTTTTGAAAATACATCTCAAGGAAAAGAGATATTAATGAAATATATGTCATTTTGCTTCGCTTTACACACGTGAGCAATGTATGTATGTATTTAAATGAAGCATTTCTTTTAGAAAAGCATGAGAAGTTGGATACAAGATAAGGCAAAGAAACATCGACCAAGACACGTATTATCATAAAATCAATATCCAATATTCGTATTTGAATACAATGACGTGCTAAGAGGCCTTTGACACAGGTATGTTAAAAACGCGGGAGTGGGTTTATTGTTTAAAAATTGTTAGGGATTGAGGAAGTGATCTTAATGGTTCTTCGTCACGTCCGAGATCATTAACGCGTCACACATCCTAGGTGTTCCTGACTAATTTGGTCAAAATATTCATAAATTTTCGTGCTAGTGTAAGCATAGAGGACATTACTATTTATACCGCATGTTTCTCGGTAACTCACCTTATGAAATCCTTAACTAATCATAATTATACTTTATACATACCTACGTTAAATTTTAAAATGTCCAGTATAAAAAAAGATTTAATGACACTTGTACATTTTGCTCCATGTTTTAAATATATCATACGCTTAACCAGCTTCCGTGGCCGAACGGTTACAATGCTGGTCTGCCACGCAGAAGCCCCGGGTTCGATTCCCGGGCCGGGAGAAATATGAGTATGGCCCACATTTATTTCTCTCGTGAGTTAGGATGTAATTTGTGGCTGTCTATGTGTGTGTCCATGACACTCGCGACACAAGGTTTCCCTAGTGCAGGGCTATGCGTGTGTACGTTATTTTATTTATTTATCAATTTTGTAAAACAAAAATGTCCGACCTCATGTTAGTTGACCTGACCTTCTTCCTCATGATAATAAACAAATTTAGTAAAAAAAAAAACAATTCAGAAGTTTCATAGAAAAGTTTGGTTTCCCATTACCTATATGAGCAGTCAATCCGAATTTTTATATGAGAAATACTAATTAATGGTGGATTTTTTATTTTTTATTGCTAAATTTAGTTGTTTTCGTGCATAATTTCAGTTGAGGATTAATCTCAACTGAAATTTGGTAACAACTTCTTTTGGTTGCACCCCATTTATAGTTACTTGAAATGAATATTAAGAAACTTCTAAACATAATTTTACATTTCGTTGTTCGATACTATGAATGATTTTGCGTAAATCCAACGCATATAGTAAAAAGACAATAGATTTCGTAAAAAATATTAATTAAAATGATAATGTATTGAAAATAAACTTTTGTTCGGATTAAAAGCCCCATATATTTGTTGTTTCAAACAACCAACGATTCGGATTCTGTGAGACCCATGATCGGGCTGTCTGATATTCGGTGTTATATTCAGCCGTAACCATAGGACCTGTAAAGAGCCCAAAATATAGGTTGAATGTAAAATAAAAACAAATATACCGACCGTGAAATCCACAGATTATGCTATCAGTATCGAGACCTTTTCTATACAAATAAACTACCCTTGACTTTCACGCATGCAGTTCAGTATCAATTAAAATAAACAGATGACGCCCCCGTATTTGTTAAAGGTTACAGGCAAGCCGCAACAGCGAATAGAAAAAAAAATTTGTAGTAGTAGACCTCATTGTGAAAAAGTGCAGCCAGGGAAGTACTGTCACTTTACCCATTTCGCCAAGCAATAATGTCAGCATATCTGTGTTCCGGTTTTGAAGGGCAAGGGTGCTGGTGAAATTACAGGTACATAGGACGTGTCCACTTCAGTCTCAGGGTGACGGGCACAGTAGCAGTGCCCGTCAGATCTTCGCAATTTAATGCTCTGAGGGGCACTGCAACTGTTATGGACATGCGTGTAGCTTACCATCAGGCGCACTATTTGTCCGTCCCGTCACTTGATATTATAAAAAAAAGAAATACAAAAACAAATATATAAATATATTTAAACTGCCTCTGTGGCCGAACGGTTATCATGCCGGACTGCTACGCAGAGGTCCCAGGTTCGATTCTCGGGCCGGTAGAAATATTTGTATGGCCTACAATTATTTCTCTCGTGAGTTTGGGTGTAATTTGTGGTTGTTTATGTGTGTGTCCATGGCACCCGCGACACAGGGTTTCCTTAGTGCGGGGCTATGTTGAGTGTGTGGGTTATTTATTTATTATTATTATTATATTAAATAGATACCTTGCTTAAACAAGGTTTAGTTAGGGAAAGCATTTCCCTTTGGTCATGTCCCGTTCATATAATACCAAAAAACAAGATGCATTAGGAAATATTAAATGACGACTTGCTGTGTAAAAATTACGGTAGTTTTTAAAAAAAAAAATGAAAATTATGGCGGAGGACGCCATCAGCAAGGCCGGTACCTCACACACAACCTAAAATAGTTTAAGAACTTCAAATGTTAATATATTTTGCACAAATAGTGGTCTCTGCTTATTACCTAGCAATGATAACAATGAAATTTTTTTTTTGTGATACCAATTAAGCGGACGAACAAGTCGTGCGCCTGGTGTTAAACGACACGCCCGCCCAAAGCAGTTACAGTGGCATTCAGAGTTTTAAATTGCAACGATCTGAGGGACACTGCCACTGCGCTGCTCACTCTGAGACATAAGTTATCAAGTCCCATGTGCCTGTAATTTTACCAGCACTCTTACCCTCAAAATCGGTTCGGGACACACACTTACATTACTGCTTGATAACACAAATACAGTATTTCCGTGGGCAAACTATTTTACAAGGAGCTCTATGTGTTACTAAAACATACATACATTTACTAATATCTATTGCCTATTCTACATCTATTGTCAATTTGCTACATGCATACATATTAATGCAGGTATGAGGAAGTTCGATAGACTCTATCCCAGGTAAATTTTTTTACACTTCTCCACCACACTGGAGTTTTTTTTAGCTCGTGTAAAGGTCTTGCTAAGACCACCAATATATGTATTTATAGGTTTATTTGCGTCTCCCTCCTACCTTTCATCTCTTTCCAAAGGAA